AGAGATAACAGATTAAACATGAAACAATTCATATTCTTTAATTCTATTTCTCTTGTAATTCTAATTTCTCGATTATAATTAAATTAACTTATTTCAACGATAAAACTTTATTATCTAATAGAAAATTTTGAATACAAAAATAACAGATTGAACAATTTTATTTCTCTTGTAATTCTAATTTCTCAATTATAAATAAATAAATAGAATTTCAATCGTAAAATTTCATTTCACTGTGATTGAATTAAACTACATTCCCTTTTAAATGAAAATTAATATTTCTTCGAAAAGTAGCGGAAAATTCTAAGATGCACGATTCGCGCCGGTTATTCCCATTAAAAACGAATGAAATATTACTCAAATATACTCAACCTGTCCACTACCATAGCAGCGAATTTCCAATCACTAATGATCTCGTCGCTTTCGTCCGCCTTTTTCATACGATCTGTGATGAATTGCAATTCCTTAAGAATTGTGTGCAGTTCCTCCTGCATGCCGCTGAGAGGTAACGACGCCGTTGTATCTGCAACGGTTGCCGGTCTTCCGGTTGATACCGGAGTACCGTACGCCGACCTACTTTTTAATTAAAACAGTAATTCACTGGAAATTTTTGATTTATTTGCAAGGGAATGTATGCAAAGGAGTATTACCAAGTGAAAGAAAATCAAAGTTCAAAGATAATTCTGTCTGTTGTTAGACATTGCTTTTCAATACCATTTTCACGTGGAATCCAAAGAAATCAAGAAAGGAAAATGTAAATGGTGATAAATTGACGTAAATAAAGGATTCGATTATCTCTGAGAATAATCTGCGATCACAATCGACTGGATCACAATCGAAAGATTACTACGATCTGACCAAAAATAACATTTTCGAAAGCGTATAATTTTGTACTTTCAGATCTGCTATTTTTTAGAAATTTATTAACTGCGTATTAGCTTATAAATTATAAACAGCTTTCGTTTAATAAACGAATCTTTTTACCGTCAGTTGTTAAAGATACGATTAACTCTCTGTTTTCAAATTATTTTGGATTTCACGGAAAACTGAAGGTAACTATATTATCTCAATGTTTAGGGTGTCAAAAACTTCAGTCATTTGTCGGCGCGATAAACGAAAGATGAATTCGATTGCGCTCAGATCGTTGATTTTTCATTCTTAGTCTTTTAACGCAAGATAACATTTTTCAGTGAATTTACAATATTTTAATTTTCAAATTTGAAATATGAAATTTGCAATTCGAAATTTACAATATTTTAATTGTTCTTTAAAGAACCATTGCGAAACACGTGGATAAGACGAGTACTTATGCAAGCATGTACACAGCTTCTATATGTTAATGTTGAAATTTCACGGTACATTTCAAGCTGATGTGTTTTATAAATAAATAAATCCCACGTTCCATTCGAGAGACACGTTGAAAGGCACGTGAAATTATTTTATCGGAAATGTCTCAGCTAGAATTTGATATCAGCAGGATATCACGAACAGGTATCAAAGAGGAGAAAATAGATGTCCCCTTCATTGGAGGCGAGCACACTAAAAATATAAACGAACATCAGCTTTCCAGACGGAAACATCTATATCCTCGAGACACTAATGTCGAAGAGAATTTCAGATGAAAAGTATCTCGGATGAAAATTTATCTGACAATTATCTCTGACCGATTGCAATATTATCAATTATTATATTCCACTGTTGACTATCGAAGATTTTCAAATTTATTTCAAAACTATTTCCGACACTTTTCAACGTCATTCATTGTCCAGTTATGATAATTAGTCAAATAATAATGATGTGATACTTTGTAAACTTGTCACATCGTTATACATTCTTTTATCGTATTTATAGTACTCGGTCAATTTGAATTAAAATTGAATGAAATTAAGTACTGCATATTGACAATATCTTTTGTCATTCTACTTCCACTATTTACAGTTACCAGTTTCCATTTTAATTTCACTTAATAATTGATAATTATAAGTTTCGATAATTTTGTTAATTTATTTCATTCAAACGCATACACGAAGAATTACAAAGGCCTATGTACCAGAAATTCTTAAAAGAAATTATGTAATTTGTATTAAAATTGGGCAAAATTAAATACTGTTTATTGTCAATGCTTTCTATCATTTTACTTTCACTATTTACAGTTGCTAGCTTTATAATTTAATTTAATAATTTATTTTTCACTGTTTATAGTTACTAGTTTGAAATTTAAGTTAATTCAGTAATTTATAATTGCAAGTTTCAATAATTTGTAGCAAGTTTGAAAAAAAGTTAATTCAATTTATACTTATAAGTTTCGATAATTTCGTAAATTGATTTAATTCCAAGACAGACTTTCTCAGACTTTGAGAACAAAATTTCTGAAATCTCGCTATACAAATTTGCACATTTCTTGTCGCGTTTCGGCGAGAAAAAATATCACCGAATTTTCGTTATGCAAATCCGCCCCGTTAAGAAAGATTTTCGGTAAGTAATTCTGAAGAAGGGACTTCCGGGAAAATATGTTACCTCATGTAGCCGGCAGGAGGATTTGCCGCGCTATTCCTGTGACAAAAGTGATCGTTGATGTCTAAAACGTTCGCCATCAAACTCTTGCTACTCCTCTCTTGCAATTCCTTGTCCTTCCTTTGGTTGCTTATGAGAATTTTCTTCTTTGTGATCTCCTTTCCTGGACGACCCATGCGCAGTAAGCACGGCAACCATTGCAAAAACAGCGTTTTCACCTGCGTACAACAAAAACAAAGTATTTAACATACGTTTCAATTTCAATTAATTCAATCTTTTCTACAATTCTTCAGCCTTATTGTCAGACTATGAATTTCAATTTTTTTTTTCTATCGATATGTCTAACAATTATTTCTGATAACAACGAACACACTTTTTTTCGATTGTAATTTCTGGTGAAATTTATTTTGTTTGTTTAACGAGAATTTATTTCGAATTTTTTTCTATCGAATTGTCACTTTTCTGTTTTTTCTTCTTGCAAATACGATTTTTATCGATTGCTTTTGTATTTTATTGGGAATTATTTATCAGAGATTTATTAGACACCCTGTATGTACATAAAATGATTTCTTTCTGTACTTAATATGTATTCTAATTACAATTAATTTAATCTTTTCTACAATTCTTCAGCCTTATTGTTAGACTATGAATTTCAATTCTTTTTCTATCGATATGTCTAACAATTATTTCTGATAACAACGAACACACTTTTTTTCGATTGTAATTTTTGGTGAAATTTATTTTGTTTGTTTAACGAGAATTTACTTTTAACTTTTTCCAATAAAATTGTCACTTTTTGTTTCTTCTACTTGCAAATACGATTTTTACAGATTACCTTTGGATTTTATTAGGAATTACTTAACAATTGAATTTAATAAAATTGTAAAATGTCTTTTCTTCATAAAAATATCGTTGTAAAATTGTAACTACCAAACGATTTGTCGTCTTTACGATTATTTGTAGATAAATGATTTCTTTCTGTACTTTACACGAAACTGTCTCTTTTTTTTTTTCATAAAGATATCGCAAAATTTTGACTACCAAACGATTTCTCATTTTTACGGATTAAATCGGTTTGCCTTAATACCACACGCGTCTTCTTTTCCTACCGATAAAAGTGGCACTGTTTTTGTTTCGCCGTGCTTCCTTTCATCCAGAAATAACAGCATGAGAAAGTAGCGCGTGGAATTTTTCGTAGCTCGTAGAATTCTTGTCTCTGCTTCAAGTACGTTTCCCCTTGGTTTATGAAACTTCTAGTAACCAACGGCCAAGAGGAAGTGCTAACGCCTCGAAGGCACTTTAAACTTTCAGCTACTAAAGCATTGTCTTCAATGGTTGTAATGGCTACTGCGGATAACGGCGGAGTTTTATGAACGAAAAGTACCGGCTACACATTGCATACATCTGTCGAAATTCTCTCTCGAGTTTCGATAAACTGGACAAGTGGTATCTGTTGCCTTTCAATTCATTTCTCCGCGGCTGTGTTTACGTGTTAGGCGTAGAAAATAAATTCTTTCCGACTGGATTCACGTATAATTGATACAAAACCACTTTTCTATCCGCAAGTTGCAGGAAAAATGACGAAAGGTCATCGGCAATAATGGAAATTATTTTTGTGTAAAAAGAATTATTTATCTCGATAAATTTAGCTGTACTATGGTTATTTTTAATCTACGACCACAGGTCAACCTGATTTTTAATCCCTGCGAAATTAATTTAACCACGAGTAAGTAACGAGAACGCTAAAACCTATGTTTCCATTGAAGAATATTGTAAAAACGTATAAATTGTTATATGCAATGTTATAACAAATTGTCGGAAGTATAAATTTTTAATAAAATTGTGAAAATTGATAAATTATACCGTGTTACGATATCGGAAATCTCCCGCGAAAATCTCCCGCGAAAATTTCCCGCCTGACCTAACCGACGATTTTGCTAATGACTTTGGGGAGAGGGTACCGCAGGTATATAAGGACCCGCCGATGTCCCGCGAAATCATTTACCCTTTATACTGGGCCCTAGACACTTCGCGGCGTATTTTGACCTGAAGGTTCTGAGATGTGAATAGAGTGGTCGGGGGCTACTAGCTAGTCTATGTCCACCCTGTACACACTCAGCCTTCTTGTAACACTTGTATACATTAGAATCAATTAGAATTTCTATTACTAATTATTAAACAAATTTTAACAATTACCGGCACTCGCTAGGCACGTAATATCAGACTTTAAATACTCGACTTCGAACTTCGGTTTAGTCATAATTCTATTAATGTTATAATAACGTATAATTTATTAATTTTCACAATTTTATTATTAATTTATACTTCCAAAAATTTGTTAAAACATTACATATTATTATTTATACATTTTTGCAAGTTTCTTTGACAAATAAGTACGTTTCAACGATCTTATTACTTTCTCGTTGTGAAATCAAGTTCGGAGGATTAAAAATCAGGTTGACCCTTGGTCGTAAATTTAAAATAGCCATAGTGAAGGTGAAATTATTATTTTAAATAAATGTTTCTATACGAATTAAGAATCTATTCAACGTTTGTTTGTTGCAATACCGTGAAATAAATTGTATTATATATTTTCTCAGTTTAGACTGAATTTAAAGTTCGTAAGGATTAGAAATCAGGTTGACCTGTGGTCGTAGATTAAAAATAGCCATAGTGAAGGTAAAATTATTACGTTAAATAATTGTTTTTATACGAATTAAATATTGATTCAACGTTTATTTGTTGCAATACCGTGAAATAAATTGTATTATATATTTTTTCTGTTTACACTAAATTTAAAGTTCTGTTTACATGTTATAACAATTAGAATGTAGACGTTTTGCCGTTTCACGGTTTTTCCTCTGTTAATTATGTGTTTATAAATCATTTCAAACTAAAGCAGCACCATGCCCACCCTTAATTAAACCGTCTCAGTAGTTTACCGTAATTAATAATCTATTTTCGGAATTTATACGAGAATTTTTGAATTTTAGTAAATACTAGAGTCAGTGTCCACCCTGTACACACTCAGCCTTCTTGTAACACTTGTATACATTAGAATCAATTAGAATTTCAATACAATAGACTGAATAACAATTCATTTTAACTAATACCTATTAGAAATTTTCCTTTTAAAACAAATATAAATCATTTTACCAATTACTGGTACTTGCTAGACATTTAATATCAGACTTTAAATATTCTCCTTTCGGTTCTTTTAAATACAATCAAATAATTTCTTCAATTATCGATACTGACTTGGAATACTCCGTTTCGAATAAAATATTTCGAAATTATTTTGAAGGTTTAGGGAAATAAACATTTGAATTTTAGTCATCGTTGTTCTTCAGACTTGTCGAATAGGATATTGAAATGACTTTGAGTGGTTGCTTTTTCGTTAGGGCATAACAATCAATATGTACTTTTCTTCCAGCAATTGAAATTAATTTTAAATTTTTCATATATTTTCTCTGATATTGAATTTTGTTTACTAATAATTTACCATCCAAGGAATTTGCATGAATTGCATGTTAAGTAGTTAGTTGATTTATTATTGTATATTGTGAGATGATTTGGAACGAGTGCACTATGCCCACCCTAAATTAAACCGTCTCAGTAGTTTACCGTAATTAATAATCTATTTTCGGAATTTATACGAGAATTTTTGAATTTTAGTAAATACTAGAGTCAGTGCATCGCGTATTGAAATAATAGCTTCATCCCTAGTTCGTTTATTATTGAATATTTTTACGCGTTTAACTTATGCTTCTCCCCAATTCTCGTCGCGTATTTTATTCAAATTTTCTTATATTCTAGAATCGAAAAAGATACGAATTCGCGTTTTTTCTTTTGATTCTTTCAATTTTTCAATTGCATTACGCATTGTTGCAATAATTTCTATCGTTACATTTAATTCTAATTGTTTAGCAGCTTTTCTGCTGCTATCGACCCTACATTTTACTGACGCTTGTCGAATCGACCCTACGTTTTACTGACACTCGACCCAACATTTTCTTTTTTTTTACGTGGAGGTAGGCCGACTCTATGTGATAAACAATTGGCAACCAAACGGTGGCTCGCTAAAGCGATATATTATGATATGAAATTAATCACTCAATAAGTATTAACATTAGATTATTTCCTCGATATGGCCATAGTGGTCATCGGTGACTGGAGTGCCTCAAATGTTTAGAATAATTAAAATAAAATAAATGTTGTCAACTAAAAATTTTCAACGTCATAGCTAGCTAGACATTATTTTCAATTGAAAAAAAAAATTATAAAGCATAATTATTGCATAATTATTGTTAAAGCATAATTAAGCATTATATTTGACGCATTATTTAGTTCTCTAATTTTGTATAATAACATTCGTCATTTTAAAGTATATATTTAGTGTATTAATATTCCCACTGATTATTGCGAAATTTATGTCATTTATTGTGATTTCGTTGACGAACGACTGTATTAAACGTAATAATAGATTAAGCTTGTCAATCATTTTTACGAATATGCAGACATATTTAGATGCGTCATAATGAAATTGTACGAAAATAAATGAAAATATTATGTCTAAGCAATATACTTATTTTTAATAGTAGCAATTAACTATGATTGACAAAGAATTCCAAAGAATTCTATCAAAATAATAATCTTCATTTTTAGAAATTCAACATTTTTGCAAAAATCGATGTTTTCACACTTCAACACAATTTTCATATATTTTTTCTTTTGATGAAGAGTATGTTTTGAAAGATATGCTTAAAAACTTGAACATATTATACACTATTAACTTATAAATGAAATTATGTGATATTATATATTTGTATGAAATTTATAATAAGCATAAATGGTAGAAGAGAAATGTAAACGGTTTCTGTAGCTGTCCTTGTGAAATTCGAAATGCGTCAAAATCACGCGTCCCGTAAACCTACTGTTAATTATTATAAATATTTTTATGAAAAATATATTACGTATTTCAAATATCCACAAATGTACGTACAAAACCCTACTTCAAAAAATTCAATAGTTCTTTCCAAAAGAAACTCCTAAAAATTGCTTAAAAGATGGCGATTCAAAACCAGAAAATACCCCCTTGAAAATTACAGTTTAAACAAGGCAAGATTAAAAACTATTACTACAAACACAAAAGAAGTTTCTTACCCACTGCGGCATCTCGTATCTGTCCGGTGATCTATGATGAAAGTTCAGCACCAACACCGTCAGAACGACGCTGCTCGCCACCATGAACATGATGCAATTGAAGTACGACCCTGAATTCGGGGTGTTCCCGAAGATACCCCGAAGAAAAAAACACAAAAAGGAGGCGATTAGTCACGGTAATGGATCGGGGATCCACTCGATTGGTCGCTCAGAATGAAAGACTGTATAGGGTTTCCCTCTGAAGGTTCGATCGTGGATCAATACACTTACAATTATCATAAAATCCTCGAAATCAGCTTCTCTTCAAACCTAACGTAATCACCCTTGGTAATCTTTCATTCCATTCCGCGACCATCTTCGTTTCTCCCCGAACACGGAGGATTCGTTGAGAAAGATTCAAGGATCGAGAGTAACGCGATCGTCGAAATATTTCCGCATACTAAACGGAATGTTCACACTATACCCACGTTCACGTGGCCCGTCCATACTGAATTTCCAAATATAATACAGTAAATGTTGTCGATAAACGAACAATAACACACACCTATTGGATTATTCAAGCGAAACCACATTTTCAACTATCGATTATGGTGTTCGAGTAAGTAGGTGTCCTGGACGATTATCGATGAACACGACGTATCCCAGAGATAATTTCTATATTTTTCCATAGAAGCGTCGAAATTATTGATCCACAAGAGAAAATTGTATCTTGTGAAAAACATAGGGTGACCTCTCGATCCTAGATCTACATGGTTTTACGCTCGTGATCCAGGGGAAGAGCACACGTTTTCACGATCACTCGGTCCTCGCATTCATTCCTGGTGACCCGAGGCCGCGTTCCCACCGATCCTTTTATTCAGGATCGTTGCAAAATGGAGGAAACACAGAGACAAGGAAATAAAGAGAGAAAGAAATTAGGCAAGCGAAGAACGAAGGGAAGATCGTTGAGAAAAAAGCGCACAGCACGTTTGGACAAGGGAAGAAAGAGCCGAGGCTGTATCTCTCGTTAAACGGCTACCAAAATCGCTATAAGCGTACTTACTTGCGCGCGCGCGCGGCGTACAACCCCGCGAAAAACAAATAAGCGGTTTTCCGTGAAAAACGTTTTAATTTAGGCTGTTGCCCGGCCGTCGTGCCATCAACATCCAGAGAACTTGTTACCAACGTGTTCTTTTAACGTGTGTTTCGTGGTACTTTGTAGTAGCCAGTCTGGTATCGTCGGTTGTTTTTACAGGACGATGAAAGGGGAGTTGTTTGATCACCTTTCGTTGGAATTTCAGAGTGGAATATTTGTAGGTCTGTCTATCTTGCCACGTTGCAGACAGTGAAAATGGTCAGGTTTGTTTTCAAGTATACAGAAATGCTGGAATACCTAAAGTTGAATTTTTATTTCAACCCTAATGCGTTTTTCTGTTTGACTATGCACTTAACACGTTCGCTACTAGCGCCACATACACGGGGTACTCAGTAACTGGTGGTAGAACCGGAAAGGTGGTAACTCTACGTCAGAAAATAAATCGAAAATGTAGAATAAAAAGAAGGCTTCGTTTTCGAGAAAATTGACTTCAAATTTTCACCAGGTACACGTGCAGTTGACTATGTCTCGACCTAATGTATTCTGCTGCAGCTTATTGTCTCGGTTCAGGTTTGTACTTATCGCACTGGGTAATCAAGAATATTTTAAGTTAAAAATTCAACTTTTAACCTTCAGAGTTATAAATAAAAATTTTGGGTTTATAAATCTTAATTTCGTACTTTTTGGGTAAATGATTTTTTTCTACAAATCAGAAGAGTACACGGTAAAACAGAATATTAACTTACGATAAATTTGATTACTACGGAAATTGTTGAAAATATTGCCCCATTCTGCCGAACACACAATTGTGCTCCACGAACGAAATTTCTATGAACGCTTTCTAACGCGTTTCAATTTTAATTGATTCAACGCTAGAGCGATTCTTCCTTTCAATTGGTGGAATTTCTTCGGAACAGACAGCGGAATACATTAGGTTGAGACACAGTGAAAATATTTTATTCTACATTTTCGATTTATTTTCTGATATAGAATTACCCCCTTTGCGGTTGTACCACCCTGTATGTGACGCCTCGAGTTTCACTTATTTAGAATGTTACAAATACATTCTACAGAAATTAATAACAATCGATGCCGTATTAGAACAATAAAACGTCTGAGCTGTGTTGGTCGATTTTCCTTTGAGACCCTGGTAGCTAAAGTGTTAAGGTGTTTGGGTAAAAAAAAGATCCAAAGATACCCTGAGTGTAACGGCATGTGAATCTAGACGGAAAATTTTTGATATAACGTCGAGGGAACGTAAATTTGACAACGGAAGAAATGATTGAAGAAGAACAATGGCGATGGGTCAAAAGTGACCCGGGCACCGTACTCGGGGTGAAATAGTTTTGAAATACAGAAGTCAATTATGGCATACTTGGCGGAAGAGCTGTAACGAGGTCGTAAATCACGTCAAGCGAAAACATCGATCGATCTAGAGGCACAAAGGGTCGTACTTCTTACGGAAGCCCTTCAAATCTCAAGTCACAAGCGCCGAGCAAAAGACGCGAACCCTTTGACAACCGACGCTTCTAGCGGCCAAGGGACGGCAGTGATTGGATCGGTATAGACTTGCGTCTACCTTTTTTCTGTTTTTAAGTATGCTGCAATGAAAGAACCGAGGCGACTTGGTACGGCCCTGAAGAGACTCTTATTTCATAAAAAGTGACGTTTTTATCAACAGGATTTCGTGTTTTTTCACACCCGATTTTACGATATCACTGTAACTCTTCTACTGATTATAAATTTTGCCTTCAATTGCAAATCTAGTAGAAAGAATACTTTAAATATTGGGTTGTGCTGAAAGTTTGTAGCCTTTAGTAAAATTTTAAATCATCGTATCTCTGCTCCTAATTGAGACAGCGACAAAAGCTAAAATGCGTTTTACTCGTCAGTTGAAGACGAATCCAACGTACTTGTCGAATTATTCATAAAGTGAACGAATTTAGGTCGAATTGTATTTTCTTCGGTGGAGCGTGCCCGAAAAATTCCGCGCTGCACCCCAGAAAATACAGTTCGCCTTATATTCTTTCTCATTCATCTTAAGAACAATTCGAGGAGTGCGTTGGATTCGTTTTCATCCGACGATTAAAATACTATTTAGCTTTTGTCGCTGTCTCAATTAGGAAGAGAGATACGATGATTCGAGTTCTTCTCAAATTTCGCTATAAACTTCCTTGACAAACCAATAGATATTAGATCTTAAATTAAAATCTCAACCCAAAATTCCCATTTACCGAATAATTCTTCTAACAGTAGATCCAGCATTTCTGAGCCTAATTACGACGGTTTCAATCTTTCCCAAATTTCGTTACTCATTTTCCCGACAACCCAATAAACGTTAAATTTTAGATTAAAATCTCAACCCAAAATTCCCATTTACCGAATAATTCTTCTAGCAGCAGATCCAGCATTTCTGAGCCTAATTACGACGGTTTCAATTTTTCCCAAATTTCGTTACTCATTTTCCTGCCAACCCAACAGACATCAGACCTCAGATTCAATTTCAACCTGGAATTCTCATTTGCCGAATAATTCCTCTGACATCAGATCCGGTACTAGTGAGCCTAATGCTCAGACTGCCATAAACGTTCTAGCGTGTAGAGGTTGGATGTGTGTAACGAAGTATTACGGAACACTTTAATAACGAGTCCCCTCGAATCGTTTGTGGCGACGTGCATCTCTGACCTGGCTGATATCTTGAAAGGGAAACATCTAACACATTGGCATGCGACTACGGAATGCAATTAGCACGAGTATGCACGAGTGTTCTATGTATTATAGCACGAATATTGTTATGTTATCTATGCAGGATGCACATTAACGGAGCGGTAGCATTCGCAACAGAGGTTCAAGCTGCTTCTAGACTAGTAATCACATTAATTTACGCCTCGTTTTCTCGTACAGGTAAAGCCGAATGCTGCTGGTATGCGACAAACTTACTGGGAGTTGTTACTGTTGCCTTCGTTTCAACAGCGTTTTGTGATACATGGTGTTTTCTGGAGATTATTGGTTAGATACTTCCGACGATTTTTAGTATGTAGATGTATTCGGTATTCGGTTTTTCCTAATCGTGCTTTAGGAGCATCGAGCTTGGAAATAGTGTTGCTATAAAGAATTGTAGAACTGCGATGAAAATTGATGTGTAGCAATGTTGTTTTACAATAAAGCTCGCCGAGTTTAGCTTTGAAGTTCCTTTTTGAGAAACTGATAACTAAATACATTTGCTCATCTTTTATACTTTGTTCGGTAATGCTCAGTTTTTTAATTGTGCTTCAGAAGCACTTGAACTTGGAAATAGTGTTGCTGTAAAGAATTGTAGAATTGCGATGAAAATTGATGTACAGTAATGTTGTTTTATTTGGAGTTTATATTATTGTGAAATCATGAGTACTATTTTTTCTGAAGAACTATAACTACATTTTGTTTATCTTTTCTACTTTGCTCAGTAATGTTCAATTTTTGAATTGTGCTCTGAAAGCATTAATATTAGTAACAGTGCTGCGATGAAAATAGATGTAAAGTAATGTTTTATAATAAAGCTCGCAGAGATTATCTTCGAACTTCATATTATCCTAAAATTATGAGGTAAATTTAAAAAAAATTTCGGTAACAGTGTTCTCTTAAATAAGTTACTGCAGAAATCACTGAAACCTATTTTCTATTTTCCTTTTTCCCACCTG